ATGATGCCTTGTATTAAATTTTAAATTTTTTTGACCCAATGAATAAAATGTTATTGACATTTATAGAATAATAAAACTAAAAAAAATGGAAATTTTCAAATGTCTATAAATAACTTAATTAAGTATAGGAATTAACAAAATAAATATTTGGTGTAAATTTCAAGTTTCTACAATTAATCRTTTTCAAATAACAACAAAATAAGAACATCGGTACAAATGAAATTAAGTGAATATCCAATGTWATAATTCAAATGTTTAAAAAAAGTTAATTTGACTTTCCAGTAGACATTTTTTATTTGATATAAGTAGAAAAAATCTTGAAGAATCTTGTATAGAATTTTCATACCTTAGATTTAAAAAGTTAAATTTTTATGAATTTCTAACTCAAAGTAAATTTAAAATTTTTGTGATTTTTGTGATTTTTACGTATTTTGTCAAAATTTGAACTTTATGTGCTTATTAGAAACAATTGTGATAATGTATTTTAAATGTTTTTTAACTACCACTGTGACAATATATTAGGAGCCTTGTATTACATTTTGAAGCATTTTATTTTATTGTCATTTATAAAAAAAAAAAACTAAAAAGATCGACAATTTCAAATGTCTATAAATAACTTAAAAAGATTTGAAACATATTGAAAATTTTATCACTTATAGAAAATGTCAGTATAAATATTTCATGGAAAATTCATGAGTCTACAGCAATTTGTTTTAGAGTTACACCAATATCATCAAAATTACATTTTCTCAAAAATTGATATTGCCTAAAAATTCCCGTTTTTCATTAATTTTTGCACCAACTAGATTCACTTCTAACCGGAAAAGCTACTAAGATTAAAAAAACAAAGCATTATTTCGACAACTTATCGTGTACACAAACACACAAAAAACACACACATGACATTGTAAAATTAATACATTCATTACTCCGCTCAGAATCTAAAATAAAGTATTAATATTGTAAGTTATTAAAACTGTTTGAGGTCGCTTAAAGTTTGGTACCAAACGTTACCAAACGGATCTCTATAGACATTAGTTGGTAAACCCTGTTATATAAGTACGTTATATTTATAAACACGAAGAAAATTCTACCATATTCAATATTTTTATAGATACATCCATTCTCAGTTGCACCATTTTATTTTAATACATTTTAATTTATTTTTTAATACCTATTTCTAACATGTTTATACTGAATGATTATTTTAACAGTTTACACTGATCACTATCTTAAAAAGTAGGTAAGTAATTACAATTTGGAAAATTTTTATCACATAGATAATATTAATAGTTAYTGCATTTTCCGTTACTCTTTAGCATAATATGCATATGCAATTTAAAACTAAAGAAAGCTGTTTGCTGCATATGGAAAAAATGTTTCGGTAAAAACTAAAGAGATGGTCATTGCCTTTTAATTTATAAATTATACAGATATCAAAACGTTGGAAGACCTTTTCAAATAAAAAACATATTAATATTAAATATATACATGCCGAAATATTCCTAAAATTATTATTATTATTTTATGTAAAATATAACAAAAACCATTATAAATACTCATAAAAAATCGAATTTATCATWTAGGTATTTTAACTCTACAGGGTCTGGATGAYACTATGAAATGGACTTTTTCATTGTTTCACTAAATTTAGGTCAACAAGTTACCACTGATGAATAAGTATTGTAACTACTTACCTACTGACTAGTAAAACCGTTTTAAAAAAATCAAACAGGATAACATTTCATAAAGCAACTATTAAAACTTAAAGAATTGTGCAGATCAATCAAAATTTCCTTAAAAAAGAATGAATAAACCCATAAAAAATCTATACGTAAAAAAACCAAGTTATAGACACTTTTAAAAATAATAGTAATATTTACAATCCACACTGTAGACAAGTCTACTTTTTCATGTAGTCCAGTAATTAGTACCTTACTTCACAACGTAAAAACATGATTAAAATACTTGACATTTTGTTAAAAATAATTTCTAATAGAAAGTGCATTCTCTTATGATATCATTTAACCTACCAAATATATTCAGTGATATAATCTTTCGAATATAATACATTTTTAATGTATTTTTTAAATATAATAAACGATCATTCTTTAAAAAAAAWTGTTGGAATATTAGGGAATCAAATAATTWAAATTTAACATTACATTTAAAGTATATTTATAATTCTACAACTTAAGTGTTTAAAAAAAAGTCTTTATGCACTATATTAATGGTAATATTTTATGCGTTGGCATTTTGTTGAGCAGTAATCACATGTTCATTCATAATCAATTGATACTCCTGAAATCGTTGTGTCATTCTTTCAGAAGCTTTAAGAAATTTGCTTGTACAGTTTTCAGCGCACCTTACCTAAAATACAACATTATTATTGAATTTATTAAACACATTTTATAGATAAAGTTCAATGCATAAATCTATATATCATATTATATTAGTATAATAATAAAAACATCATTATTTAAAAGAACTTMAACTTACTTCTTCACTTTTAAGATCACCTACTGTAAAATCTGTTGCACAATCCATAAAACATAACTCTGTTAATTTATTATATGACTTAAATATTTCTTTGACCTGCAAAGAATGATAACATTAAAAAAATTATTATGTTTCTAATATAATTTTATTATAAAGATTAAAATATATTAAAACAATATAGGTATCTTTATGCTTTTAGTAACACAATAGTAGTATTCAACATAAATCAATGAATCTTCTTGTAATTATTTAGTAAGTATATGCTAGTGTTACTAGATGTCCCACATTAGGGGTGTTATTCCACATTTTAAATCTGCATCCCACTTTTCAAATAGTTTTGCTTTTATTCCACGAAAATTAAATATTTAATTTTTACACACKTTTTTACCATKTAAGGTGTAAGTTATAAAATGTACAGTCATAAGTCTCAAATATGTAATGTGTATCATACAAAGGTGCCTTTGCAGTGGCAACCMAATGTTTTCCATGAACCAGTACAGTTATAATAAAAATCCCCAAAATATATTGTTTACATATTTGACACTGCTAACACCCTAACGTTTGGAGGCATTTAAAGATTCAGAAGAGTAGTTATGCATTTATAGTGTTAACTCCATGGTGGGCCCCGAGACCTGCATGGAATCAGTGTAATTGCACTACTTGATACCCTACGTGGGAACCACTATGTATTTGTACGCCTGAACACAGTACTGGTAGAAAACATTTTTTTCACAGTGAATACAATAAAAATATAGCTTATGAGTAACTTACATACATACATTTTAGCAAAGTATTTAGAAAAATGTTTAAAAACTTTACCTATTTRCAATATAAATTAAAATTTGAGAAAAAGTAGAATAATTATTAATTAAAGTGTGTTATAATCATAAAATTAATTATTATATTTATATAAAACAAAATATCAATATCAGAAATATATTTTTATTACGTACCTATCTCTAATATAATACTTTATATATATATACTTTATATCTTCAAAAATACAATAGACGGGCATTGTACTTAGGATAGGTACTTAAAACTAAATAATTGATAACTAAAATGAAAACATTGATTTAAATGGTAAACATTAAAAAGATGATCAATTAAAYATAAATATTATAAAACTTACACTGGCCAGTTGAGAAGCGTCAAAATCCATGTTAATGTCAGTCACATTTGCATTTGTGTTTTCCATTATAATGTTAAATGTCTGTTGACGGTTATTATAAATTAAAGTATTTTCTGTGCTATTATAGAAATTAATGAGTCAAGATAAATTGCAACAAGATTGTGGAATATCTTTGAAAATTGATTGTTTTAAATTCTATGATGTATTATAAATTTTATAATTTATTAAGACCATAAAGTACTATCACAGTTTCATAATCACACATTCATACTATCACAGAATAGATTAATAACGTTTTACTGCACTATTTCACCATAGAATATTCTATGATTGCACCATGAATGACCAATGGCTCTGGTACAGTAAAGTTCACTGATAATCGTACTAGTGCGGGCTGGTGCAACTGTGCAAGTGAAGATGAAACATAAAATCTATTTAAAATATWAACATTATAAACTATTATACTCATCACTGGTATATATTATATAAAGACGAAAAAATATTTAATGGGTACGAACTYCAGGAGCACGTGCGATTATCAATGCACTAAGTGCATACAACTGGCGTAGTGCATTGAGTTGAAACATAAAAAACTTCACTCAGTGCACATTAATCTCGCCGATGGACATAACAATAAAAATRTGCACTGGCACAGTCAGTGCATTGTGGTGGAAACGGCTATTATCATAGAGCCCTGAAGATTTGAGATCTAATCTAATAATAATATTATCTCGTCTTAATCTTTATGTCTTATTCTCATTATAGACACTAGACAGACCACACCAGTCCGGAAGGGACGAAGGGTTACATAGTTCGACGATAAAGGTCTATGAATTTAATTTGAATTAGGTAGAAAATATAACTTGTTAGAAAGATCTTGGTTTKTTTCTTATTATTCACTGATATGGAGTTTACCACAATAATGAGCATTAATTATATTAATAAATTTGAATTTTTAACTGCATATTGGCAATATGCAATTACGCGAATCAGCTAATCCAGGAAAAAAGTAAAATGTATTTTACAAAAAAAATCAATAAAAAAAAAATAAGTTGTTGATAA